TAAAAAAAAAAAAAAAAATTAAAAAAAAAATCCCCATGCTTCAGACCCTGCAGAGGCAGCTCAACACATCTGTGAATGTTCAACAGCCTCACCATGAACTGGGCATCCAAGTGCAGGAGCGTGTTGTGGGGCATCCTTCACCCAGGGGCCAGGTAACGGGCTGGCTGCGGAGCTGGAACGTGACCCAACGCAGGGAAGGCCGAGAGGACAAAGTTCTTTTGGCTAAGCCCTGTGGAATATCAGAGTGGTTTCATGCATAGCTCAGAATAAACAGGCAAACAAGCGACAGTCAGAAATGTTAATATTTGCAGAAATCTCCTGGTTTTGGCGCCTGGATGTGGGGAGCTGAAGGATGCTGGTGGAATGCAAGCGTGGATTCCTGGCTGCCCAGAGGGGCGGCATGGGGAATCTCACATCCCGGCGTGTCAGACCGCCTGGCAGGATGTTTACGTGAGGAGTCCTGGGGAGGGAGACTTATGAATCTGGTCCCTAGGAACTGAGATATTCGAGCATCCTCAGAAAAAAAAAAAAAAAAAGGCCACAATTAAGCAGCATTCATCCTCCTGTGCCTGTTCCAGGACCTGTTTCCTACACACCATCACCAGTGGGCTGTGGGTTAAACCCTCCCACAGCCCCAGTGCCCCCAGAGCCACGCAGCACCCAAGGGCTCAGAAGAGCCCCAGTCCCATAGTGCAAACTCCCTCCCTCTACGCAGTAGGAGACGGATTTGTCCATGCTCATCTGCAACCCTTCTCCATGAGCTCCTGGACACACGAGGGACAAAATAACACAAACCTTTAGACCACTGGCCTTACTTGCCCTGGATCCTTTCAAGGCCTGTTTGGGATGGTTTGAATCTGCTCAACACCTCTCACCATCTCCCTCTGGCTCTTATCTGGAGTACGGTTGCCAGTGATGGGAGTACTTGAGGCCAGTTGGACGCCTTCAGAGTGCAAGGCTCTGGCATTAGCAAAACAGCGGTGTCACTTTGGCCTGGGAAGAAAATGTTGGCAAATAATGACCTACCCTTTGGTCACCCTCCTTCTCCAGCTATTTATCCAAAGATATCATATCTCAGGGCATTTCTTCATTTCCTGCTTGCTTTTCTAACCAACACTTTTAAATCATGTCCCTGCACGGAGGGATGCATAATATTCATTAACAGTGATGCAGCTGTTACCTTGATTCACCTCATCCCTTCTTCTTTCACTTTTTTCTTTCTGTTTGTTGCTTTCCCTTTCCATTTCTTCCTCTCTCCTGGTCTCAGTGCTGGAGAGAGCTGGCAGGACATTTCAGTGAGATGTGAAAATAAGGACCACTGAAGGGTCCCAGGGCAAGGACAACAGATAGGACTGAGAAGTCTTTCAACTGTGTTTAAAACAAACTCGCACATGTGGGCTTTCAAACCCCAGTAGGCAGCTGAGCTGGAGTTGACAAGTGCCGCTGCTCTTCGTTCCCTTACAGCTGCACCAAAACCACCTCCTCGCCCCCATGTCTGTGGCTGGAGGACTCCCTGCCTCTGGGTTTCCACTCTGCAGGGGATGGGCTGGTGGGTGCAGGGGGACACAGACCAGTGAGCTCAGGAGTCACCCACTGAGGGGCTGCCCAGCACCTCCCCATTGCAGGACCCAAGGGCTCCAGCCCCAGTTTACCCCTCTGCCCCCTGCCCTGCCCCACAGCCGGGCACCGCTCAGGCAGAGTTGCAGGGAAAAGCAGGATCGAGAGGGATCAAAGTCCTCAGTGTGTATTTGCACTCAAAGTGAAACACGGAAATTGAAATGCAAAGCTTCTCAACCCCTGTTGATCTTTCCTGCCTGTGTTTGGAGAGCTGACACAAGGGACTGATACTGTGGATCACCAGTTTCTTCCCCTTCCACTCACGTATCACTGGGAGCTCGGTGAAGCCCTCCGGCAGCTGGATCCATTGCACTTCCCACTTCATCCCCCTCCTCTGTAAGGCCAAGCAGTGCCTCTGACACCCGTCTCCAAGAATACATGATTACTTCATGGAGCAGAGAACCATGAAGGGTTTTGGACCCAAACCATGAGCTCTCAGCCAGACCCTTCCCGATCCACATTATCCTTCATCTCCCCAGTGCATAATCAGGCTCTCCAAACACAGTGTTCTCAGGTCCCAGGCCAGAGCTTGGAGCCTCCTGAGAGGAATATGCTAAAAAGAGAAAGAAAAACATTACGTTGCCAACTGAAGCGAGTGCTGACAGGAAGGAGATGCCAGGAGCACTTAAACAAGAATTCGAGACCGGGGGACGCTCGGGTGTGTGTTTTCAATCCGGAGAAGGGAGATGTGTTCATAGGGAAATGACTGCCACTCACTGTTAGCTTCAGACCTCATAACTGATGTCCCAGGAAGTGAAATGGCCATGACAAGGATGTTCCTGACTCTATTAGAACTTACTTCTGGGATTGATGGATTAGTGCAGTGCATGGTAAAATGGTGCTGCTCCTCCTTCGGCTCCAAAACCTGCATTTGCAGCTCGAACCTGCGAAGATGGAGATGAGCAATTTTACAGCTGCAATTTTATGGCTCCTTTCGGCTGCAAGGGGGGTTATTTGGAAAAATCCAATCAATAAAGATATCTGGGGGTCCAGAAGTCCTTTGGGTGCTGTGGGGTGTGCTGCAGCACCTTGACCCAGCTGGCAGCACCATGCCCTGGTGCAGAGCCCCACTCCCATGACAGCAGCATCCCGCAGCCCTGTGCCAGCCCCAGAGGCAGGGGATCCTCTGGCACGGCCCCAGCCCAGTGCCGCAGCGGGGGGATGCTCCTGCTGCTCACGCTGCACAGAGCACCCAGGACCAGGCTCCAGCTGGGGCTAACAGGGGAGCTGACAAGGGAGCTCAACATCGGCTGAGCTATCCCACATTCTGCTGTTTAAGGGTGAAGCTTCAGTTGTCTGGCTACAGAGGGACTCAACTTCTTCAAACAACAGGCCTGGCGCTGGTGCGTGGAGGCACAGGCTGGGGCTGTCACCTCTCTGGGCTCTGTGACCAGCTCCACTGGCAGGGATGAGCTCTCCAAACACAGCACAGATGCTGATTCACGGGGACATCCTCCAGCACTGATGGCTCGGGCTGCTGGGGGAACATAACCTTTCATAGCACGTTCCAGATCTCTGCTGAAAATAAATTATTAATGGTTTTACCTCTGTGTGGAACCGCACAAATAATGGACCATGGCACTGCAAGCTGCAACAGGTCAGGGAGCAGCACCCTGGCTTACCCTGGGCTGCATGTCCGGGGCTGGGCGTCTTGTCTGCTGTTTTGTGTGTGCCTGTGCATAGTCTATAATACTTCCCGGAGAAATGGTGGCAAAGCCAGGAGATCAAAGGCTGGACACAGATGACAAACCCATTTCCATCTCAGAAGGGTGCATCTAAACGGGTGTTTCAGCTCCCATCCAAAATCCACGAGTTCAAAGGCAGCTGTTTCTTGGGGATTGCCGGCACGTGGCGGGAGGATGACACGTAGTGCCAGCCACTCTCCTGCTGCTCAGGCGCTACCTGCTTGCACAGCAGCCGCAGCACGCCAGGCTGGCAGCAGTCACTGCTCCCGGCAAGCCCTGCCCTGTTCACACGGTGAGATTCAGCCTCCTGGAATCACAAATCTCCATAAATGTGGAGAGTGAGGTTAGGCTACATTGTCACAGCAAAGCGGAGATTGTTTGGTCATCCCTGGATCCCTGTGTCACCCCTAGGTCCCAGTGTCACCATCCTAGCGACATTTCCAAAGGGACCCCCCTGTGTTGTGCAGTGGAGAGGGGAAGAGGGCAGCAATGGGAGCAGGTTCATCCTGTTGGAAACAATTGCTGCCCAGAGAGTGCTTCTTATCCCCCAGCGCCCAGCGAGAAGCAGGGGCTGAGCATCCCTGTCACACTGCCACCACAGGGACTGGAGCAAGAGGATACAGCCAACCCTCACCTCGCTCAGTGAGCTGGAGCAGGTCCTGAGCCTGCAGAATAACTGTGTTGGGGCTGGCAGCGTATTTGGGCATGGCCTGACCTTGTTGGTGTCCATGGATGCCACTTGCTTGGCCACTCAGAGGTCTTGGAGCACTTTCACAGCAGCCCACATCCTCCAGCCTTGTCCATGGCACCTCCTGAAGCTCAGCGCTTTTCCTGGGGGCACCCCCAGCCCCACACTCCAGCATTTGCACTGCATACTCCAGGGCTCTGCAAAGCAACGGTGAGCAACAAGGAGCTTCAGCTCATCACTGCTTTGTGCCCGAGTGGCTGGAAGAGGCTGCCCCAGGTGCATCTCACCTGCCCATGGCCAGCATCCCCCAGGACCTGTGGCTCCTTGTGCAGGCAGTGATGCTCTATCATCGCACATCAATAAGTGGGTTCAGTTTTGGGCCCCTCACTACAAAAAGGCCATTGAATGACTTGAGTGTGTCCAAAGGGCAATGAAGCTGGTGCAGGGTCTGGAGCACATGTCTTATGGGGAGCAGCTGAGGGAACTGGGGGGATTTAGTCTGGAGAAGAGGAGGCTGAGGGGAGACCTCCTGGCCCTCTACAGCTCCCTGACAGGAGGGTGCAGAGAAGGGGATGAGTCTTGAACCAAGAAACAAGCGATAGGACAAGAGGGAATGGCCTCAAGCTGTGCCAGGGAAGGTTTAGACTGGATATTAGGCAGTATTTCTCTGCAGAAGGGGCTGTTGGGTGTTGGAATGGGCTGCCCAGGGCAGGGGGGGAGTCCCCATCCCTGGAGGGGTTGAACAGTCGGGTTGTCCTGGCGCTGACGGAGTTGGGAACAGTCATGGTGAGGTCAAGGTGGGGCTGGAGGAGCTTCAAGGGCTTTTCCAGCCTCGATGATCTGTGATTCTGTGACACAGGACAACGCAACGTAATGCAGCGCGGTGCGATGAAATGCAATTATTTAATTTAATTAATTTAACGCAGCCTAACACGGCGCGCGAGGCCCCGCCCGCCGTCCCGGGCCGCTCACACGTGACCACGTCACATGTCTGAGCCCCGCCCGGCCCCCGGCAGCCCCGGCGCTGCGGCCCACGGCCCCGAGCGCTCCGGAGTTTTCCCGAGAGCTTCCCCGGGCTGTGGCGTGGGTGCTGGGTGCTCCTGGGCCCTTCCTTGGGGCCCCGCCAGGAACACTCGGCCGGTCGCCGCTGGGCGTCGTCAGTAGTTTTGCTGAAGTAAGTGGAGAGGGAAAGTTGTTGTTCCGCCGAGGGACAGGCCCTTTGCCGGGATTTCTCTGCCGTTCCCACCGTTTGGGGCTTTTGGGGGCTGGAGATAACCCAGTGCGGCCCCGGGGCAGGTCCTGTGCCTCCTGCCCTAACCTGCCCCGGAGCACCCCCGGGAGGAGAGGCAGGAGCCCAGCGGGAGGGGGATTTTGGGGTAGTGGTGGCAGGAAACTGAGGGCGGGAGCCGTGTGCCAGCAGGGATGGCCGGCAGGAGCCATGACCGGAGCCTGCGGGAGGAGCTGACCTGTGCCATCTGCTGCGACCTCTTCAGCGAGCCCGTCATGCTGGACTGCATGCACCACTTCTGCAAGGCCTGCATCCAGCGCTACTGGGAGAGCTGCACCCGCGTCCCCTCCTGCCCCCAGTGCCGCCGTGAGTTCCCCAGCCGGGCTTTCCGCACCCACTACCTGTTGTCGGGGCTGGTGGAGAAGGTGAGGCGCTGTGGCTCCGCCGAGCACCGGCACAAGATGCAGGTAAGTGGCTTCTGCCTGGCTGGGGGAGAAGGGGACAAGCACCATGTGAGCCCCGTGCAGCCACCCCAAGCCATCACCCCCTCTTCCCACAGTCTGCTCCCCTCCATGTGTGCCTCCCCTGACCCAAGTCCAGTGGGTCCCATCCTGATTCATTTCCTTTCCCTGTTTCCTTCCAGCTGTCTGTCCTTTGGATACTTTCTTCTCTTGCGTTTGTTTTCCTCCCTGACTTCCATCTCAACCTCGTTGTATCTCACATAGGGACTGTGCAGTTGGGGGTGAGGGCTGCTTGTGCCGGGTTCTCTGCTTGAGGGGTCAGTTCACAGCACAAAGGGTTTAAACCTTCTGTAGACAGATATCCCAGGCTGGAGCTCACAGTCTCAAAATTAAATATGATTCATTACATGCACACATATATAGTTCTCAAGCTTCTGCATCAGGTGCTTTCTTCTTACTGCTTTTATAAGAAATCCTGTTGCAGCCTCCCTCTAATGCTGGCCTCAGGAAACAGGATTGCACCTGAATCACAGCAGAGTAGTGAGGAGGTCTCCTCACCTTCTTTTCCTCATTCCTGCAGAAGCACCTGGAAGATGCTTTGCAAGCTCGTCAGAAGGAGATGGAGAACTTCTTGCAGAGAAAGCATGCGATGCAGGAAGATGTCTGTGGCCTGACGGTAATGCCCTGGGATAGCTGGTTTTTGTACAGCCTCCTGGTTAATGTTCATAGAGGGTCTGTGTATCGTTTCAGCTGATACTCAGCTTAGCTTCCTGTAAAAATCTAGACAAATAACTGTAGAGGTCTGAACAAGCTCCTCCGCATGTAGGCCAAAGCCTATCACTACTGAATATTCAGTGGAGGCTTTGGGATGAGGCACTAAATGCTCATTAATGCAGCATTTACAAGGTACGTTGGTGCAGCAGAGCTGAGACAGGGTGAGTGGTGAGAGCTGTCGGCTGAGCAGCCTGTTCTGGCCCTGCAGCACTGCCACTCTGGGAGAGGGTTAATTCTTGGAAGTGTTAAAGTCCTTTGGCGTGTCTGAAGGTGTGGCAGCAAAGCAGAAGGAGCTGGGACAGCAGCAGTGCTGGCACTGCAGAGAGCACTGGCCTTGTCACAGGAATTGTGTTTGGATTCACTGCAAAGCTCTGAGATGATATGAGGAGCCTGAGTGCTCTCTGCAGGCTCCAGTGGCACCAGGCTGCCTGCTTGTCATGGATCAACGAAGCAAGAACAGCCACAGGCTGACTGTGCTTCTTTCTTGAGTGACATAAATGTATTAAAAGCCAAGGAAGGAGAGTTTAAGGAAAACAGAAGTAGTTCAGAGGTGAGAGAAAACTGACAGAAGACTGTCTTTCAACCAGTCTCTGATCCTGCTGCCTTCGCTGTTTCATACCTCTATCCCGCTGCCAGATTTGAAATAGACCTTTGAAGTTAATGCAGAAGTATTAGCAAATAAGCGCGTGGAGCTGATGTCCCCTTACAGGGGAAGAGCTGACTAAGAGGTGTTTCAGGAGTAAAGGAGCAAATTGCTGATCTGAACAGGAAGGCCATGCATGTCCTTTGTGATTCTGGTGTGTCAGCATGAGCACCTGCTGGAGCAAAGGGAGGCTGGGATGCTGTGCTGGCTAGTGAAACTTCAGATGTACTCTGGGGGAGATAGATTTCCTGCTGGTAGAAAGGGATGTGCATTTTGGGAAGCACTCCTTGAGAAAATGAGGATAAGGTTGCACTTAAATTAAAAGCCTAAAGATTAGGAAAATAAAAGGTCATTGACTGTCTCTTGTAAGCAGGCAGGAAGGCAGTGAGAGCACCACAAGGTTGACTGGCTGACTAAACAACTGGAAAAAAGTGATCTCTGAAAAGAGCTGAATGGGATTTTATCAGCCTTAACTACAGAGATTAGTTTGTGCAGCTCCCCCCTCTCCCATACAAACAGGAGCCCTGATTGACGGAAGCATCAAAGAAAAAGAGCAAGTTACCAGTGTTGGGCAGCTTTGCCCAGGATCTGGCATGGTGTGAAATAAATCATAACTGACCTGAACAGCTGAGTCTGCAGCTCCAGAAAAGCAAAAGAGCTCCAGTCTTGCACACAGGCAAATTCCTGGTGGTGTGGGAGAGGGCTGTGGGCTCCCACTGTGGCTGTGTGCAATGATTTCTAGTTAAGGTCACTGAGCCACTGGTAGAATTTCCCCCCCCCGGCTCCTCTCCTTTGGCTCTGTAGCCATAAAAGTTGTCCTTGTGTCCTGTTCTCCATCCAAAAAGTCTTGAATTTCCAGGACTTTGTAAGCAGAGTAACGAGCCCAGACTTCCTGTGCACCTACTTGTGTGGTTTAGCTGCCAGACTCATCTTCTGTCCTTTCCCTCTGCTCAGAAAGTGTCTGGGGAGCTGAACTTCAAGATCCGGGCAGAGTTTGGCCGCCTTCATCAGATCCTGGAGGAAGAGGAGAGAGCTGTGCTGGCAGAGCTGGGCAAAAAGGAAGAGCAGTCACTGGCACGACTGCACAGGGATCTCCACCAGCTGGAGGAGAGGATGTCGGTGCTGCAGAAGGACATCGAGCACATAGAGCAGACACTGAGTAAGATAGAAGAAGTGTCATTGCTGGAGGTGAGTGTGCCTGGCTGACCCTGGCAGGAGGCTGTGGGGTGTTTTGGGATCTGAATTTGGGATGGGGGAGAGTCTTAAATAGCAGCACTAGGCTGTACCTGGAAGTCATTCTCAATGACGTCCCTCCAGTTATCTACCCAGTCCCTTGCAGTCTGGAGGCTTTAGCCACAAGGAATATGTAGATCTCCCGGACATGATGGATCTTGGGAGCCTTACTGCTTCTCTGTCACCCCTGTGAAATTGCCTTGGCCCCTGAGCCCAGTCACTTTTCCCCAGGATGGGCTCCTGGTAGGCTGGTTTGCTCTCTGTGCTGTGTGACAGCAGGAGGCAGGACAGGGAGCTTATTTGTGCAGCTGTATAAATAACAGTGACTGCTAATTTTCTCTGCTTCTCACTGCAGGTGGAGAGCCTGGATATCAGGTACGTGTCTGGCATGAAAGAAGCAGATTCACTTTTCAGGAGCCTTATCTCTGTCCCTGGCTGGGATCACACAGGGGAAGGATCTTATCTCAAGTTGTAAAAGCATCACAAATTGCTCAGAGTTGCTGGTGCTGTGCCAGGTGGGGGCCAGTCCCCAGCACACGTTGGATGCTCTTCCTGGGGAGCATGTGTATCGAGATGGCTGGGCTGGAGGAGGGGGTGGAGGAGATGTGCTGGTTTAGACTGGGTGCAAGAGCCATGCATGCTGCAAACAGGAGGAAGGCTGATGCCACAGACTTGGGATGCTTTGGCTTCTCCCTGCCCTTTCTTAGCCTCTTAAAACTCACGGGGCCACAAAACTGACCCCGAGGTGCAGGTTTGTGTGAGGCTGCGAGTAGCTGAGGGCTGGAGGGGTTGAGTGCTGCTCTCTGTGCCCCAGGCCCTCGATGCGTGTCCAGACCCAGCCCACCTTCAACCTGGAGCACTACAGGGACAGCCACAGCGGCCCCTTGCAGTACATCTTCTGGAGACAGATGCTGAAGTTCATTTGCCCCGGTGAGCGGATCGGTGTGAGGGGTGGATGTGCTGCGTGGTGGCGGGGCCAGGGCTGATCTGCACAGGGATCTTGCAAGCGGTTAAACGCCATGTTCAATGTCTCCACAGCTCCTGCCCCACTCACCTTCGACCCTGATTCAGCCCACCCCAACCTGGTCTTCTCCAGAGACCTGACAGCAGTGACAGAGAGGGATCAAGCCCAGCCTGTCCCCACCAGCCCCCGGCGCTTCTGTCAGTGCGTCAACGTCCTGGGCTCGCAGACCTTTGACAGCGGCCAGCACTACTGGGAGGTCTGGGTGGGCAGCAAAACCAAGTGGGATCTGGGGGTGGCCGCCGAGGCTGTGGACCGGGCAGCGAAGGTCAAGCTGTGCCCGGAAAACGGCTACTGGACGCTTCGCCTGCGGAACAGGACAGAGTATTGGGCCACCACCACCCCCTGGGTGCGCCTGACCCCCCGCCGGCCCCCCCGGAAAGTGGGGGTCTTCCTAGACTGCCAGGAGGGCACCGTCACCTTCTTTGACGCCAGGGACATGTCCCACCTCTTCACCTTCCACCAGGTCTCTGCGGAGCGATACTGCCCCTTCTTCAGCACCTGCTTCAGTGACGGGAGGGACAACATGGAGCCCATGCGCCTCTGCCACCTGGCCCTGTGAGGGGCAGGGGGCCCTGGGGGCACCAGCCTGGCTCCTTGTCCCTGCCCGCTGGCTGCCTGGAGCCGTGCTGGGGGCATGTTCTGCACACACAGACCTGGTGGGTGTTGGAGGGGATGTTTTTTTCGGTCTAGGGAGGAAGGAGCAGGATGTGAGTCTTCCCAGCTCCCATCTGCCCTCCCTCCCCTGTGCCATAGGCTGTGGGTGCTGCACTGCACTCCCAGAGGTCCCTGGCGCCCCTTGAAGAAAAACCTCCTGTGCCTGAGCGTTTCACGGTTTAGTAACCGCAGCCCCAGGGCTGCAGCGGAGATGGCCGCAAGCTGCTTCCTCTTCTGTCCCTCCCCACTCCCACCCCTAAACCCTGCGGAGGACAGCGGTCCCAGAGCACCATCGGCTGCCTCTTGACACTCAAGTCTGTGTCCCAGCCGTGGGCTTCCTCCGCTAGAAGGGCCGCGGGCTGGCGGCAGAGGGAGCTCGGTGCACGGTGTGGGACCCCTGTGGTGCTGCCTCCCCTCCCCTCCCTCACCATTAAAGCTTGTTAGAATGACCACTGCTTGCTGGACCTGCTCAGGGCTCGTGTGCTGGGAGGGGATCTACTGCACAGGGGTGTAGCTCAGCCCCTGTGCCAGCCCAGGCTCCTTCCCTCCCCACAAAAGAACCTCGGCTCGGGCTCAGCCCTGCCCTCAGAGCACTCTGGCTCGTCTTGCAGCAGGTGTTGGTCTTTTGCTCACCCCCTTGTGTCGGGCTGCTGGGAACGAGGTGGGGGGTTTGGCAGCCCCGTGGGCTAGGGAGGGTTGTCTGAGCCCAGCCCTGACTTTAGGCTCCTGGGTTTTAAGAGTTGGCCACCTCTGGGTCTTAAGGATTTGTATATGTGAAAAATGCAAAGTCCCATTTCAGGCCAGTTTCATGACTGCCTGGGCGGCCTTTGCTGCTGGGAGCAGAGGGTCCCAGTGCTGCTCTTTGCCTGTTGGCCACCCTGGCAGCACCATCCCTGCTGGAGAGTGGCTTGAGGATCCCAGGAGGGCAAATCAAGTGGATTTGGCAGCTGCAGTTTGTTCCTGGGGGGTGCTGGCCATGTCCCCACCTTACATACAAGTGGGGTCAACCTGAGGCAGGAGGAGCTGGGGTGGGTCCAAGCCTGGCTGGTGGGGGGGAAGATGGCAGTGCCTGGGCTGTGTGGGATTGTCATGTTTACCCCACTCAAGTCCACTCCAGGGAGAAAGCAGAGGCCAGAGCTATTCCAGTCCTGCATAGCCCCTGGCTGCTGGCTGGAGCCTGCGAGCAAATTCCTGCTCTTCAGAGGCTCAAATTTGCTGCGGGAAGGTCCAGGCGCAAGGGCTTTCCAGCTCCCACAGCTGGGCACAGGGACATTTGTCAAAGCGAGTCCTCCACTGGTCATCCCCTGCCCAGCGGGGATGGGACAGGGGGCCCTGTCCTCCCACAGTGCCACGTTCCCCCTTTCTGTGCACCACTGCTGCAGTGTGCAGGGGTTGGGCTCTGCTGTAGCATCTGGTTCTGGGGTTGCGTAAAGCCTGGGCTGGGGCAGAAAAAGACTGTGCTCGGCGGGAGGGGAGGATGACCCCGGTGAGATGAAGGCAGACATGCCCTCTAGTGCAGGAGCACCGAGCAGCCCGGGGTTCTGGAGGTGGAGGTGGGTGTAGGGGGGACTCTGTTACTGGGAAGCTGCTGCTCTGTGCAGCCTTGCTCGGGGAGTCGGGTGTGCTTGGAGGGGATGTCAGGTATTTGCTCCCTGCCAGTCCCCAACTGGGCTTTAGCTGGTGAGTCTGCTCCCTCCCTGCTGAGCCCCTGGGCTGGACTCAGTCTCCTCTCCCGGCTCCTGCGTCGTCCTCTCACTGCCCCTCAGCTGAAATAAGAGTGGAGAAGAAAGAGCTTGTTGGCTTGGAAATGCTGCTGTGAGCAGGGCTGTCATCCCCCCAGCAGGGGCTGGGAGCCTCTGCGGGAAGGTGAGGCTGGTGTGATGGCAGCAGGGAGCTGCAGCTGTGGGGGGGTGAGGGGGTTGGCACCCATCACCTCCCCGACCTGCCCCAAAACCGCAGGCAAGCAAGGCTGGGCAGGAGCAGGCAGCAGCCCCTGAAGCACGAAGGGGAGCAGGCGCTGGCAGGCAGCGAGTGCAGCCAGGCTTCGGCGGCTGCCAGCAGGGAGGAGGGCGGCCAGCAGCCCCCGGGCCCACCGCTGCCGTGTGCCGCGTGGGCCGGTGTGGCGGCACGGGCTGCGAGCAGCTCGCTGCGACGTGTGCCAGTGCCATCGCTGTCACCTCCTACACCTTCCCCTTGCCAAAGGCAGAGTTGGAGAGCAGCGAAAACTGCTTGTCCCAAATTCCTGGGCTGAGCAGGCTCCCAATGAAGCACATCCTTCCTCCTCCTCTTGCCGGGCTGCATGCGGTAGCCGTGGTGTGCTGCTCCTAGGCAAAGCCGTGTTTTGGGGTATAACATCTTCACCTGGCCTTGCTGCTGGGGAAGGGCTCTGGCAGGAAGGCTGGGGCAGGCAGAGCCCCTACCCTGCCTGCAGCACGTACGGCAGCTCCTACGTGCATGGAAAACGCTGCTCTGAGCTGCCATACGTGCAGCATTAGCCCGGTGAGGAAATACTGCCCGTTGTTAAATCCTGTCTGAGAAATGCATTTCACTGATAAACCGTAGCACCGTGGATTAGAAACCACAGGTGTCGTGTGGGCCTGGGTTCGGGCAGGAGGGGACAGGGGTGGCACAGCGGTCACCATGGGGGCGAAACACCCCTCTCTGCTCCAGCATCCAGACCTTGTGCCTGCTCTTGCCATCTGCCTCCAGGACCAGGCTGTATTTTCTTCCCAGGTTACCTTGTCATTTTATCCCCGGGTGTCTTCAGAGCCACCCCAGTGTGCTGTTCCCACAGCCCCGCCTGGGCTGGGCAGTGTCCAGCAGCTCCTGCCCCAACCTCCCACTACAACGTGTCTTTACCCAGTGCTTTGGGGAAGCCTTTGCTTCCTCAGGTCCCCCCACGTGCTGGAAGGGGGACAAGATTTTAAAATAAGATCCTTTTGTTTCCCAGAGCGGCAACAATGGAAAGGTCCCATCGGTCCCACAGTCACCCTGTGTTTGTGATGGAAAATTCCCGTCGCAACGGGGCGAGCCCTCCCCGGCGTCCTGCCATTAGATGGCAGCATGGACGGGCTGGTCCTGGCCACCACCGCCCGCTCGGTGCCACATTTGGACTGCAATGGATGGAGGATGCCAAAATCCCTTGATTTTTAGGGTGCTAGAGGATCCCGTGTCCCCCAACTCCAGGTCAGACCCTCTGCTCTTCTCGCACACAGCCCTTCGATTGTGCATTTCCTCTGGCATCTCAGCGGGGCGATGTGAATCATCCCCCCATCACTGCCCACACCTCACCACCTAGCGACACCCCCCCCCCCCCCCCGATGCTCACAGAGGCCCCCAGCGTGGGTACACTGCTGTGGCAGGGAGCCCCGCGGCTGCCCCATCTCTGGTCACAGCCCCTGGCACCGGGGAAGGGTCTGATCCTGCAATCTCATCCCTTCTCCCTGGGGCAGTGGGCAGCTCTGCCCCTCTGTGCAGTCCCCAGCTCTGCCTCATCACCCCATCATCATGGCGAGCGTTAAAAATCTCTCTCCAGAAACTTGCAGGGGTTTGGGCACCCGCCTGGGACTTTGGGATCAAGGAGGGAGGTGGTCCAAGGTGAGTGCACTGAAGAGCGATGCTGTCGGCCCTCTCAGGGTTAAAAACTCACTAATTGGGCTGGGGGGAGTCGGATAAAATAAACTCTGTGGCATGAAGTCAATCTGAGGGCTCTGGGAGAGGGACGGGGTGATTTCTTCCACGGGTTTGGCACTGAGAGCAGTTGAGCGCACGAGAAGTTTTCGTGCCTTTTCGAAGCCGTGAGCACATGGTTCTCATTCAGGCTCTTTCTTCGCTGTCTGCGAGCGCGCGGAATTAATAACCCTCCAAGGCGCCGCGTGGGGCTGCGTGAATTTATCTGTTCAGCACTTGTTGGGTGTGCAGGCAGCCGGCCAGGGCTGTGCCAACTGTGCCACCGCGCTGCCAAAGCTCTGCCACCGCCGCCGCCTGCAGCCGGTTCGCACTGAGCCGGGGCCGTTGTCCCTGATGGTGGTGGCAGCGACGTGGGGACAGTGGCACCGTCCCACTGCCAACACCACGGTGGTGCACGTGGGTTTCAGTGTCACCTGCCAGAGTGGGGTGTGTATGCCACACATAAGGGTTCTGGGGGGCAATGTGGCTGCCCCACGCTGCCGGCAGCGTGCCCGGGTGGGTGACATGAGTGGGGGGTCCCTCGCACACCCCCAAATGTGTGCACACAGCGCGAGAGTGTGCGTGGGCATCTTTGTGTGCACCCCGGGGGTGCAGGGGGGGTGTGCAGGACTCTGCCTGGGGGTGTACGTACAGGTGTGACCGTGTGAGCTTCTGGGGGTGCAGTCAGGGGTGGAGGTGCATGTGCAAGCAGCTGTGAGGTGTGTATGTTCACGTGGGGCGTGCCACGCGGGTGGGAGGCAGGTATTTGTGTGCACCCCCTCTGGTCCGAGAAATCGGGGTGCGCACCCGGGCGCAGACGAGAAGGGCGACGGCGTGGGCATCGTGGGCATTTGGGGTGACATGCGGGCGCGGGTGGGATCCACAGGGGTGCACACCCGGGGCGTGTGTTTTGCGTGAATCTGCACACGGGGGGGCGCGTGTGTGTGTGTGTGTGTGTGTGCTCACGTGTACGCGGGGCAGGGGGGATGCACACCCCCACGCCCCACGCACCCACGCAGGTGCGGGGGGCGCAGACACCCCGCCGGTGCCCGCAACCGCC